TCCCCACATTTACTTCTCACAACAACCACTTCTACAACATCTTCCAATACTAACACCAACACCACCACCACCACCACCACTGTCACTGCGTCAGCTGCCGCTGTTGCTGCAAACTCTCTCACCCTCATACTGTTGCTAACCAAGTGTTGTGCGCAGTTGCAGACTCAGCAGGACGGATTGGGCGAGGCGTGGCGGGGCGATGCGATGCGAGGCGAGGCGAGCCGAGCCGATGCAAGTAAAACACACATAGTACTGAAATGACCGGCGTGCAAGCATCGGTGACAGGGATGGTAAGGTTGAAGAGACCAAAGAATAGTTGCAAGTGTGTGCGTGCGATGACGAGTTGCATGCAAGGCAGGAGGAGGGTGTGGCAGTAGGTGTGTTGAGAGGCGAGTGTGAAAGAGGTGAAATTGCCGAGCTTATTGAGAAGGGAGTGGGTAGGAAGAAGAGGGCGAGTGACGACGTATCTCCTCGGAGATACATATACTAAAATTGGAACGATACAGAGAAGATTAGCATGGCCCCTGCGCAAGGATGACACGCAAAATCGTGAAGCGTTCCATATTTTTCAGCCACTCTGGCTAGCTGGCTGGCTGGCTGGCTGGCTGGCTGGCTGGCTAGCTGGCTTCGTTGCTCACTCGCCCTCCTTCTCCCCTAACGCTTGTTTCACCCTTCCTCCTCAGCTTTTTTATGATTTTGAAACGATTGCTTTATTATTTTTCTGAGGATGTTTTTAAACGGCAGCCTTATTTCAATAAAGTACCCTAGTTCCAGTTTTTTAATGCCTTCTTCAATAATGGATTATTTTTGAATATTTTAAACTAATTATATTTGAGTATTTCCTACCATACAGCCTCAAACTAGGGAGCATTCATCAGGTTTAAAGGAATGGAATCCGAATTCGCTGGACACCTGTGTTTGGTTGCCTTTAATTTCCTCACAACCATTATTAGGTTTGTTGTTTTTAGCGAGAAACCAATCATAGGTAGGTCATTTAAGGACAAGATGGTTGTGTGGGCTCGTTGAGCGTGCGGCTTGTCCAAGCTTCACACATGTTTACGCTAGGATTAAGGACATCTATCATCCCCATCTCTTAAAGTGCACGTTTTTTGTCCTGCTAAAAAGCTTAACAAGGTTGTGTTCACGTCCTGTTTCACCCCCAGTAATTCGCTTTCGCCGCCTCATTGACCTCCACTTCACGGCGCGCTTATCAACCATGCGGACGTGTCTGCTCAAACACTCCCGTGCGTGTACCCCCGCCTTCGATACCTGTTTCATTCTCCTGGCCATTCAGGCCGCTATGCTTGCCCACACTGTACTGGTCAATAGCCTTCATTATTCGGACACGACTTCTTGTGAGCACGGTGGTGGGACAGACAACTAGGTTATCTAGCAAACTATTGTCTCTGCCGTCTCTTGCTAATTCAACGCAGAGACCCCGAAGTGGTTTAGACACCACATGCTGGGCCTTCAACGATATCCTCGGGATATAACTGTGGTGGCTCGTGTCGATTCACGTCCAATAATCCAGTCATTGCAGCATCACACGCACACACCCCACACATTCACCCCTCTGCACGTACCACCACTCCCCGCTCTGTCCGTTTGGCCATTCAGAGTGTTGTGTTTTTACTAGTCCTCTCAACTGCATCAGTCAACAAAAACACATGAGTCATGCACTGCCCGTAATGTGCGCAACCGACACCACGACTTGCGTGAGCTGTCCAGTAAACGGTGGTGCCTCCACCTTCCTCCCCAGTCTTCTTAATCTTCGCGGATAGCAGAGTAGCGTAATCGGGCTAGATTTAACGCAGTTGCCCCTAGGTGATTTGAGTCAACATGCCGGTTTCCTCAACATGGTGTTATTGAACTGTCAAATAGGTTTCGGTGGTGTTTTTAATCCACATTCCTTGGGTGACACTTGATGTCTTCCCTCGCCGCATCATAACTACCACGAAAACAAGAGCACTACCCAATTTGATAGATTTGAAGTCTCTAGGTTACCCTCAAATTCCTGTGAAACAGCTTTATTCACCTCTTTTTACCGCGGGTAGTAAGGTATCTATCAGGTGCTATTCGGTAACGATAAAGTGCTTTAGAATAAAACTCCAGTGTTCTATGGATTGAGCCACAGCTACGGTTTTTGTGTTGATATTAGTTCAAATCCATTTTACACGCGAAAAATTCTATTCTAATGGGTGGTCCCAACCAGTTTGCTGGTTACTTTATCAATTTAAAATGCAGCACAACCGCCACGTATAATGTTTGCCCACAGTGAAGTTGAAGGTACGTTGAATGGCCGCGCGAGGTATTGTGCGGGACGAGAGTGGCTTGCCAATGTAAAACACACTGAGGACATTTCGGCTGTGGCAGGCACGCTTCTCATTACTGATGCGCGCTTAAACAACCTCTGCACACGAATTAAGTTAATTAGGCGGCATTCCGACCCAACTTGCGGCAGCATGACTTTGTCGAGGGCCTCGGCAGGTTATTTTGAACCACGCCGGGGCCGCTGCGTCAATCTAGGCCGAATACGATACCCTGTGTTCCCGCTAAGATGGAGAAGACCGGATAGAACGAGGCACAACCATTTACTAGACAGCTCAACCCAGCTGTGTTGCGCTGACCGATACAGTTGAGTGGACTAGCAGAAATACAGGCGTCTGAACGGTCGCATGGATAGAGAGGGTGGTGGTGGTGGTACATGCAGAGGGGTTAATGAGCAGGCGGTTCCAGCGCTTGACGGGCGCGCCGTGAAAGGGGGGAAGCGTGTGTGTGAGATTGCGACGACCGGGTTGAAGGACGTGAATCAACACGATTCACTGCAATTTCAACGGAAACGTGCTGGAACATGACCTTCTATTTGGAGATCTACCTCCTCACCTGGTCATTGATGTGTGCTGACCCATCTTTGAAATCGGGTTCCAAAGTTAGGCCCATCCTCCCGAACCAAATGCTTCCACAGGCAATCAAGATTTCTCCACAGAAGCTAATCCAGGGAGCCTGTCTTCGCGTTGATTTCAAAAGAGTCAGCATTTAGAGCGACCAAAGAACACTCGGACACATCTCCTATTGAATGTCTACAAGTGGGTGCTCTTAAATGAACATACGTAATTAGCATAAGAGATTTGCCCACTTGAATAATGAGATGAGGGTGTCACCTCAAACCCAGTACCGCCCAGCCAAATCCCAAGCATCGACGGGGTTTATCGCGGAACCCAGCAATACTGGGTATACTGGGGCCTCCCCAACCCTGTCAGACAATCGTGGAGGTAGATGACGGCAAGCCTCCACCTCGTTGCGCCTTTACGAGATATCGAAACACCCACCCCACCGCATCTGGGGAAGCATGCGAGCCGGCACAACGCGTCACCCAGTGATTTCGTGTACCAATAACCGCCTGATGCAATTCCCAAATGCCACTTACACGACTAATGGATAGCTTCTGACCACCAGCAACCAATTAACGAGGTTGTTTTGGAAACATCGGCATTTTTGAAGCCACACAAATTATTACTGGGAACGGATAATTGAACAACGTAGAAAAAGTGCGAGTGCCGGATATTAGAAGGTGCCTGTGGGGGTGCGTTAGGTGGTCGGACAAGCGCGTAGTTAGTAGACGAAGGGAACGATAGCTCTCAGACCTCTGGTGAAGGAAGGAAACTCCTTTCGATAGTCGCGTAGCTTGTTCCTTGCCCACTGAGCCATCGTCCAGAAGCCAATCGCAGTGAACGCCACAGCTGGAAGACAGGGGAGCAACAAGGTGAGGTAATTTCATAAAACACTTGCTGTCACGGCAACAAAGTACCACATTAGAGCGGCAGACAGAACCCGTGAACCCATTACCTGGGAGGGTCTGCGTCATAAGGCTGAAGCCGATCCAGCTGATGGTTTCGTAGGTGTAGTTGGGGCACGCGACATACTTGAAGAGGAACGTGAGGGGCGACCGAGGCACAGGTCTGGGGAACTGGCGGACGGTCGTCCCGGCCGGGCGGAGGTTGCGCAAGGCGAGGTGACAGGAGAAGTTACCCAGTTCACCGATCTGCAACGCAGACAAGGTAGCTTGCCTTATCACACACACACACACACGCATGGCAGTCTCGCATAGGAGACGGCGTGAACACGGGACAGCAGGATGCCACCTAACTCCAACACCTGCGCATGGAGGCACCAACAGCTTCTCATAGGCTGACTCGATGGCATTTGCAGTCAGAAATATCGACCACGCGCCACCTGCATCTTTGCAAGGTCAAGGTAACGTTGATGCGATTGATTAAACTGGTGAAAACCATTGGTAGGTGGGCTAGACAAGAAGACCTCTTGCAAAAATTGTGTGACAAGAGAGAATGAGCACCTCCGCCAAAGAGTAGTTGTGGCACAGATAATGCCACGTGCTCAATTACGCTGCCAGTTTCATACCCACCACTAACTTGTACGATTCTCAGTTTAGTGCAACTAATAAGGACGTTGACAAGGCATTGCTCTTTAGCGACAACAAAGAAAGGTCGTATAAATTACTTGTTTTATGTGACCAAAATACCAAAAACCCTTGGTGCCAGTAAACCTGAGCCTTTTCAAAGCACGCCAGGTAGAACTGAACAAGGATCGGATTCGTGAACACACCGTGGTTTGGTTGAACAAAAAGTGTCAAATAAGTGGGCTTGAGAACAGTCGATAGCTTCGACCGCCCCAATCTAAACAATTTTGGGACTTAGCGGCAGTAAGAACACCAAATCTTGACGTCACGATCCGACTTCTTCCCAAATAACTCCATCGCGAACGGTACAAATGAGAATGCGATACTGATGAATTCAAACATTGTGCTCCAGGGATAACGCCATACCTACAGCGGGTCTTGTAGAATGCACCCCCAAAAAGAGGCGCGTTTTGGTCGTCCGAGAAATTTTTTGACGTGGTACGTCGCCACACGAATGCGCAGCCTCCATTGTTCGACAACTGATGCACTCACGAAGCAAGGGTCATACCAACAAGTCCACGTCAATTCAAAATGCCTTACAGGTTTGTACAGCACAAGCGGTTATTATGGAAGGAAACCAACTCACCAAGAACAGCCCCAAACCGACGTAGACCTGAGGCCAGCCAAAGGCTAAAAAAAAAACACAAGATGATAAAGCTTCGCAGACACTTAACTGGAAAGTAGGTTTAGGATTGGGGTCGAACAAGCCCACTTGGCACTTCGTAACACACACACACACACACACACACACACCTCTCACAAGTGACAAACACCGAGCTACAGGTTTAAATACTATTACTGAAGTTGCAACCAAACCTGTTCACGCACTAGGGAACTTGTAGAGTGGGTGATTAGTGAAGTACGCGATGACAAGAGCGAAAAGCCAGTAGTAGAGGCAGTTGCGTCGGAGGCTAGACACCGGCATGGTAGCGTGGGAGAAACGGTGCACAAAGCGGGTTTCTAGGAGGCGTTTTGCGAAGTGGCCGACGTAGCAGATACACGCGATCTGACGCAGACCGAGGTCCTTCGTCATTGGGCTCATCACATTCACACCGACGCCTGGTTGACGAAGCATCCACACTAAGGCGTATATGACGAGAGGTCCGGCATACTCCAGGTAGAAGACAGTACTCCAACCCACCTGTGGACCCAGGTCCTTGTAGTAGAGACGCACCTCTGAAGCCTTTTCAACTCCGTCAATGTCACAGAGATGGAAGGTGTCTGCGAGAACCTTTGCACCTGTAGGTAACGAAAGGGCATTATTGAAATCTGCAGTGATGAGATCACGATAGTGGCAGGGTTCACATCAGGTGTGATGGAAAATTGTAGCCGATAACCAAAACCCAGCATCTAGGCAATAATTTCGTTTCGTACAATAATGCCACCTAAGTAAAATAAAAGACTTCAGAGGCCTAACATTACAGCCGAAAGTGGCTATGAGGCATGACTTATGCGAACGCTTTTACAACGCATATAATCAATTAACAAGGGTTCAATTTAATATAAGCTACTGAAAATCACGAGGCTGATTAACATGTGAAGTACTCTTCATGCATAAAATAGGCACATAGACGCTAGGCCGTTATATCAACACAAGACATGTTCACTGAAGACCATGACAAGCGGCAATATAAAAATGACCGACCGAAAGTAAACTGCGTTGCGTCCGCACGTAAACTTACTTTGTTGCCCACTGGAAAGTAGATGGATGGAGCCCCAACTTGGGTTTCAAGTTTTGTGAAATCTTTCTTTGAAAGGATTCAATTTTTCTTCTCAAAATTATTTAGCAAGAAAAATTTGCATTAAATTTATTTGTTTGGTAAAAAAACAAGCACTACTACGTCAGATCAGGACCTATACTTTTCAAGACATTTGAAGTTGTTAATTAGCAGAAGGTTTTTATGCTAATAAATGTATTAAAGGCAAGTGGAATTTCAACAATAAAATTTTTGGGACTATCGTACAATAGATAAATGCACAGGAAAACATTAAAAGACAACTCACGCTGCCCCAGTCGAAGTGAAACACGGTCGTACTTGTATTTCTTATCTACAAAGGAGTTAAATGTAAGGCACATTACCATGAGCACACAACTTCTCCTTCAAAGTTCGAATGCTGGTATTTGGTTGCACATCATGCACGGTTAGCAGCACCTTTTCTGAGGCCAAATCAAGCACAGTTACCTATGCTTAGGTCTAATGTTTAAAGGTCTTACCGTCAACATAGAGAAGTAAGCAGAAGTAAGAGGAGTTACACAACGAGTTCAACAAAATCTGAATGAAGTCCGTTTTCACGACCGCTGCATTCCTATTGGATGATGACGACGAATTTGTTATCCCAGGTAATGGGAAATTTTTTGATTTCCTTTAACTTACAAGTCCACTCCTCATACACTAATTGCTTTGCTCTTCTTAAGTAATTTTTTAGCAATTATTTGGTGCATGCTGACCACATGCGAAAAATAAATCAGATTGTTCGATTCTGTATTGGAATGGGGCAGTGAAGTGTAGTTCAATACAGGCCATAATTATAATCTCTAAATTTACTGTAATAATTAAACTGCAATTTTCATTAACCTTACACACAGCTGCTTGAATAGGCCTGGCATTTATAATGTCAAAGTTCGGGACTTTTAGATTTTAAATTGGCATAAAGTGATTCAAACATATGCTTTCAAAAGTTCAGATCTAGGTCATAAGTCCACAACAGACACATTTTTGTTACATTATGATGTTTTGCATCTTAAAATAAGAAAATTTATGCCAAAATTCTAAAATAGCAAAGCACTATTTTTTAAGGTAAAAGACTTTTGCATAGGCGTCTAAATATTGCACCGTGCTCTTTTTTACTACTAGGAAGTGATGGGAAATCAAAATTTGTCAATCTCACAAATGTCATCTTTTTTTTTCTTTTTCCTCTCGGCAACTAATCTTTTTTTATTTCAACATGCTCTTTTTAAAAATTCAAGTGAACAAAATCTTCCGATTTATCATCATCTCTAACAGAAAAATATCCAAAGTCGACAGTATGTGGTCCAAATATTATTTCGCTGAGTATTTATATGCATTCGTGGTTTGTGAGTGTGAAAATTATTTCTGTTTTTTGTCAGGAGAAATCCTGCGTGTGTTGTTAATCAAATGAACGATGAGAAATCAGGGAATGAATGGAAGAAGAAGGGTCTCACGACTATTAAGCATATCTACGGAAATTTATTGGCACAGTGACAGACATGTGTGGCAATTGAATCAGGTCGTGAAGTGACTAACGTGGCTCATTGTTGGCCAAAAAACACAAAATTCAATGCAAAAGATATTTGATCATGTCTATTTCTATTTATATTATTTTACTCTGCGTCAAAATGGACTAATCGAGGTATAAAATCATTTTTAAGGAGGCTGTCGGAACGTTAACGGGTCCCGACTTGCATGTCGGACCCAATTCGGGACAAACCTGCTATTATCTCTGATTTGACCCAGTTTAAAGTATATATGTGAAAGAAGTATGTGAAAACCAAGGCCTGCAACGGCTCGTTTGTTTTAAATGTTACTACGAGATCATTCGTTAAGCGTGAACAAGACGTCAATTTAATGGTAAACGCGCGAAAATCAAATTTCCTAAGATAAGGAATTGAATTCAAGTTTACCTATGACTGGTAAGAGTATCTCAAAAGTACCCGGAGTTTGTCAACACAATTTCTGTCAAAGCTTGTGAAATAACGCATGGCAACGATGACATTTTTTAAAGAAATAGGTAGAGGATGCCTTCGGGGAGGTCAGGTTTGACTTGTATGCTGATAGCCATGGCTTGGTGAAGGCGAAACTGCGATGGACAGACCAGACTTAAATCAAAAGAATGGCATATGTCTCTATAGTTGTATCATATTTGTGCGCCAGGCGTTAACAGTGTAAATTCTACGATTTGTAGTGGCTAGAGATTTAGCACTAACTTTCATCCCTCTAGTTAATAGTTAAGAGTGTCAAACCAGCCAAGGGGCTTTGTGTACGTATGAGTACATTTGCATAACAGGCGAATGCTGACAGAAACCAACAACAAAAGGGGTGAGTCATTGGTACACTAAGCCACAGTACACGCATCACTCACGCGAGGTGGCTCTCAGTCCACTACAGATTCTGGTTCACATTGTCAGAGATTTTAACATGTTTGCTACCAGGTTTTCTTATAAATCAAAAAATTGTTTAATTACAGCAAGATTAAAGCACGAATGAACAACACTTAAGGTTCTTTATGATTTGGCATCTAATTGTATTATATTCAATAAAATGTTGGCAACATTACTTTATAAAATCTAAAAATGCAATTATTTTTTATCAGACTAAAGGCTTTATTTTTATTATTAAAAAAGGTCTTAAAAGATTTGCCATTTCTTTATAATTTTCTACATGTCCATCTAAATTTTGTCTCTGCTCATGACCTAGTGCAGCAGGTAGTAAAACAATCCTAAACTATGTTTTGAAAATATTTTAATAAACCACCTCTATTATTCATTTTTAAAGTATTAGGCTGCAAAAAAGTCAAACTTATTCATTTGTATTTATTTTGAGTTTTCTATTGACAGATCACTTGTAAACTTTCATTTTATTATCGACAATATTGGTGACATTACCCTCGGTAACAAAACCTGTTCAAAATATTGGAGCGAAATAGGTCACCTGCACTTCCATAATTTACCTGAACTCGAGTAGCCATATTTTAAAAATTAACATAACTATTTGAGAAAAGCCTAATTCTCTGACCTCATTTGCCTTTTTATGCATAGAGAAAATTTTCTGAAAAACAATTGTGTATATTGTGAATAGGAACTATCTTAAATGCTTTATCACGTTGCTATGCCAAAAATGTCTAATTTTGTCTATTTTTTAAGCTTTCGTGACTTGGTCTAAAATCCCTCATCTAATAATCTGAACATGTCTCTCGTTTATTTGGAGAACCAAATTTGAATTAAAATTGCCTGAAACTGATATTTAAACACATTTAGTACATCTGAAATGGATAAAAATGTTGCATGTGGCATCGTTAATAGTCGTAGTTTGGAGATATGGTTTCTAAAATTGTAATTGATGTTTTAATACGCTAAAATCTTAGAAATAGCCACCATTGGGGTTTGCCACACGGGTGATGGACGTACCTAACGTTGATTCTGATTCACAGTTGAACGACGTTGAGAAGTCTGAAGAGGCTCAAGGGGGTTCATCTCCCGTTGAAGGAAACAATTCTACGGAAGCACAGGCTGGTGGTTGCGGTGATGCTTTTGTCCAAGATGATTCAGACGATGATGTCCGGTAATTACTATTTTGAATTCTGGACTGATTTGTCCGTAGAAAACTATTTGTAGGCGGATTAAGCTGGGAGACAAAAGATGGTACATACATAAAACCTTCAGTCTCTTATTTCTAGATGATCTCCAAACATATTTTTCTCAGTGGGGGAATGTTACCAGGTGTATAATAAAAGTTGATCGTTATACAGGCAACTCAAGAGGATTTGGATTCGTTACCTTTGAGAATGAAGACTCTGTTAACAAGGTTCTGAGCGTAGGCGAGCATAGGCTTATGGGCAAACGAATTGACCCTAAAAGAGCAAAGCCCTCACGAGAAGTAATGAAGAAGATCTTCGTCGGTGGTATAGATCCGGAACTTACTGAAGAAAGTATAAAGGAGTATTTCGGCCAGTTCGGTCAGGTGTGTGCAATCGTTAAAGTTTTAATGAAATAGGTTGAGTCTCTTGATCTTCCTTTCGATTCCCAAAAGAAAAAGAGGAAGCATTACATTTTCGTTAGCTTTTCAACTGAGGCGGCCGCCCGGAAGGCCATCGCCAAAGAACGACAAGAAATTCACGGACGTCAGGTATGTTCATTTTCAGGTCTGCTTTGATGCTATGAGAATACCTTTTTGCGAGTGCATGCAAGGATCTCAGATCCTTCTGTTAGGATTTCCGCGTGCTTAAATGTGCTAGTTCTTACTATAGTTAGGTAGCACTCAGTTCAGTGCTCGGGTTTAGATCTCCGCTATTAAAGTTTAGTTTCCTTATCCTAGCCCATTTGTTGAGCTCGTTTGTAATGCCTTCATTTCTTTATTACAGTGCGATGTTCGGGTTGCCGTGACGAAAGACCAGGCAAATAAAAATAAGAGTGAGATTTACTTTTTTATCATAGTTTATTGGCAATAACTCGTATATTTAATTGAATTCTGCAATGTACACTGATGAAATCATTGACACATGTTTTTTTGTATCTAACGTTGCATGTGGTATCGTTTTACGTTTTTATTGCCTCGAGGTCAGGAAACCCTTAATGTGTTCAAGTTACAACACACTACTTAGCACTTATCGCTAATGGGGGTTTCACGAATACCTATTGTTTTCAAAGTGTTCCCCTTTATTTAGGTTTAAAGTGTGTTGGCTACATTGATCCCACGTATGCGGCCTATGCAGCTTACCCGTATGGCGATTACTCAAGTGCGTATGCAGGCTTGGACCCCTACGCCTACAGCGGATATTATGGTTGTTATGATTACTTTGGAGCTGCCACAAATCCCAACACCGCTGCCAGTAGTTATGGTGAGTAAACCAGTGTGTTTGTTTTAAATGCTAATGTATTGTGCAATCTGCTGAGTATGAGGTTTCGAGTAAATCTTGACAACTCACTTAATTTGGTGCTCTTTCAGTTCCAACTCATCATTTTCCGTTGCTGTCCTCTGTCAAGCTATGTCACGGGATAAACCACACCAGCATCTTTTGTGCCATTTGCAGCTGACTTTCCATGAGATTAACGCGCTGTTTTGTGGTCACCTCAATGTAATCGCTGGCCTTAGTAGCAAGGTTTCAATTTATCCATTTGGCAATATGACTCCGCGTTTGATATTTACTTGTGGCAGAAGTCTGCTCCACACATGATCCAAGTCATCCTGTAATCTGTATGGTATTAGTGAATAGCACAGGGTAGAAAATGTGGTTTTCACGGAATTCAACGGCTTGACTTGCGTCACCTCGTATATTTCTAATTACCTGTTGTTTTTATTATTGCTTTCGGAAATAATAGGCTTGTTTTCATCTAAACAAAATCCTAATCCTCTTCTGGTATAATTTGTTATGGTAGACGCTGTGTAATGCTGTCGGCAGGAATTGTTTGGTGGTAACAGGAGCGTTCATTTCCCGCGTTCGCACCTCATATTCTTCCTGTCTGTGTGGTGAAACCGTTTAGTGAAGTAGCTTTTGAGGCTAACATGTCGATTGCAGTAGTCGTGTTCTGTTCACGGATCCTCGTAATTCACCTGTGTATATTGAAGGATTTTGGTCCGATAACTAGTATGAAATCAGAACCGGTTGCATTTTAAAGGGGACGTGTAGGTAGCCGTGATCGTTTGAGCAGCTTAGTTCTCCCTAACCAACCTCCTGATTCTACTTCAAAATAAATTTTGCCAAAGTGGTGGCTAACAACGTGTGTAGTATTTGTGGCTTCACAATGTTTTTCCCATTCACGCCTGTCAGTAACCTGATAGTTGTTTATTTCAAAATATGTTTTGGATTTACCGTTGGCAAAATTGCTGTGGTATTCGTTGTTGCATTCTCATAGGGTTGTCAAAATAAGATTTTCCATTGCAACACCTCACCTGCCAAATTGAATGGCCTTTGGTTCATGCTCACTACTTGATCAGGTGCTAGCGTACCTCTTCTTTCGCCGAATCAGCCACCCATTTGAAAAAGTGCCCTAAGCAAATACGACCTGCTTCCATACTCATATCCCACCATATTCGCCGATTTTTGTTTCTTACTGCTGCACAAATCAACCTCGCGTAGGTTCCAAATCTGCAAGCTAAACTCCTGGTTTTGTAACGGATTTTTTGTTTACAAACAGTTGCGTGGCAGTGTCATTTGCCAGTCTCAATTTGCGAGCCTTGCTTCGCTGCGTTGGTAACCCTCAAAACGCTTGCTGTTTGGTGTTGGTGGCACTTGTGCATGAATTGGCGTGCGGGCACAAAATGCTGCAAACTTCAAACCTCGGGTTGCACACTAACCTGGGGTTGGGTGCATTCCTGCCTCCTCAGTTGAAGCATTCATGACACGTTTTGTGCGTTTTCACATCTTCCACTCTGCCAAACCAGGTGATGTGCTCCTTTGACCTCCCACTTGTTTGTGTGTGCTTGGAGTGCTTGGCACTCGTTTTGGGGTTATTTTTGGTCTAACCCGTGGTTACCCAATCTTCGGCTTCCCACTTTTTTGTGGAATAGATTTCTCAGAGTAGCCCACGAAGTTAGCTCCTAAGACCTTGAAAATCCTAAATGATTGGTCATTGTAAAGTCTTAAGCTATTTGTAAATCTGCATTCATATTCCACAGTGGTAGCGCATAACAGCGACATCGACACATTGCGTGGTTTCGGGTTGAGAAGCAGAGCTCACAATGCAGAATGGTCGTTCGTGCCTGTCTTAATTACGTTTCTGCGTGGTGCAGTAGACTTGCACCCATGCAGTGCCCTTTCAGTTGTGCTTGCGTAACTTGTTCTTTTTTCCGTGTAGGTGTCTATGCGAATTACGCCACAAATTCAGCCCTCTTCCGCAATCAGTACGGGGGTCGATCGAACACCAACCACCACGCCGCTAACACGCATTTCCAGAACAGCACTAACAATGCCAACAACTTGGGTTACCCTCCCTCCGCAGCAAACTCTTCCCACTGGAACCCCGACCCCGCAGCTCCGTTCCCCGACTATGCAGCCACGTCGGCACACCCTCAATAACGTTTTTTATGGGCCGATGTTTCCCACCTAATCCCCGCTGTACAGAGACACGATATATACGGCCTTCCCATTCCATCCTCGCGGCGTCCTTGCTAAGTACAGGATCATTACACTAGCCTCATCTTTACTCCGTCTGCTCTGCCCAAGTGCCTAGGAAAACAAACTCGAAATCGTGTTTACGCCTGCATGCCTGTGTACAGAATCGTGTGTGTTTGTGTGTTGGGTGGACAGATACACTAAGCCCCCAACCTCTCCATCCTGTCTCCCCCTCTTCCTCCTCCCGTCTCCCTCCCCCCTCCTCCGCACCCCGTGTACTTGCGATCTGACCGCCACTGGGTGGATCTAATGCCCGACTGGTTTCCGTGTTCCTCTTTTCCTTCCCTCACGCCCTGTATTTGGCTTTGGCACGACTTACGTTAAATTGACGAAACAAAGTGGACTCGAAGATTATACATAGATACGGGAGTGTCAAGTTTATGAAGTTTTCAAGGTTTCCTTTCCGAATCGGCAGTGTGAAGCGAACCTTTTCTCTAACTGGGAAGTGTGTGGTTGATGATGTGCATATTTTTGAACTCAGTGTCAATGGCTTGAGTTTTGGTGTTTTTTTTCGTGTGTTGCAGCGTTCTGGGTGTGGCGTGTCCGTCCTTTTCAGGCTCATTAGAATGCCAAGTGAGGAGACCAGCCGATTGTAAGGTGATGATCCTCGCAGCGAACTTCTTTCAAGTTCTGACTAGGGTATCTTGTACGGGTTTGTTAATTTTGTTCCGCTGTTCCACAGGTAAGTTTGGCGTGTGGTGGGGTCTAACTCGAGCAGAGGCCTCGGAAACAGTTAATTATCAAGTTTATTATGAACCTGGAGTACCCATTTTGGCATCACGAGATTTTGGGGGCGAGATGCGCGACAAAGGGAACTGTTTACTTGGATGAGGGCGCGATGTGTATTGTGTGCAGAGTGGACTGGTCGCCAACGTTTGCGTTTATCGTTCCCTGCGAAAACACCTATTCAATCCACTGAGGAGGATTCCTGGTCTGGGAGGCTGTAGTCTCAAATTCCTTTCTACCACAGAATTGAAAGCCAGTATCACCTAGCGCTTCTCTTAACATTCACATCAATCTGTAAAGTAAAGGACTAAATTTGGAGCTACTCTAGTGTAAAACGCGACTCATTGTGCGTTAGCAATTGGTGCCAAGAACATTTTGCGTAGGTCAATACCATATTCAAGGTAGCTTCTGATTACACGGCTACCGATTATTGATCTTAGTTGTGGAGACTGTAAGTTGTAATTCAGATGTTAGGATTTTTACCAAGGGAACCCAGCAGACCTGGGGTGTTCATTTCGTCATCGAAACTTGACACAAACGTGTCCGCTTAGCAACCAAGTTGATCTGAATTTGCGTCGTCGATCACCAGTATTCCGAGACAACAATTTTTCCCGGAGTTCGTGCAGCCAGAGTAGCTTTAAGATTCAACGTGAACGCCAATGTAGCATCTTGGTTTCAAATCCACCAACCCTGTCACCCACCGCATACACCGCCACTGCCCCGTCCTTGCAGTGTGCCCGTCAGTCATGCGTAACCGCTTGTTCACACACCCATGTGCGTGCGCCTCCCACACGCCACCCCTTTTAGTCATCTGCCAAGGTATGCCTGCTAGTCCCACCCAGCCCGCTTTGGTAAACAGATTCAGTAGCCATGTTGGCATACGCGACAACAACACCGCTATCAATTAAACGGTCTTCTTGACCTTTCCAGGTGACAATGTTGCGCATTCGTGTGTGATTCTAGGAAACATGCCGCCACCTATTAGGGTCTTAATATTGACAGACGTAAATCCGGTTTGTAAAGAACTTCATTGCTTTCTTCACAGACTGACAGGGAAAATGCACTCCGCTTCGTGCTGTGAGCGTGATTGGCTCTGAGCAGTTCCACGCCACATTGCCATGTTTTGAGTCGGTTTAGTTCAACCTTCGTTTGCTGATTACGAGTCATCCTTTTGTGTGAAAGTTTGAACACACCATTTTAGTGCTAACTGATGAACGCATAACGCAATCCTACATTTGGGTACTAAGTCACGGATGATAGTATAATACGACGAAATCTCAACTTAACGCCTATTAACTGGTCTTTACAACCTTGAACACGTGACAGGCATAACTTTATTAAGAAGCAATGGAATGAGGTGATTTGTATAACACCTAATAATGTATATGAGAATTTAAGTAAAACGGGCCTAGTCGGTTTATTCATCAGTGTGTCCATCGAAATGTGTCAACTTTCACACCTATTAAACCATTTCTACCGGAAAAATCCGAGCCTTTGATGCTACAAGAATTGAAAACCAAAGGGAAAATTGTGCATACTGGGCTCCTTTTGATGCATACTGATAATCAATAATACGCGAGATGTTAACTAGGTTGGGGTTGCGCTATAAGAAGACGGTTTGCTAAACATGGTGTCTACTGTTAAAAACTTGCCCTTATCTATGCACATATTGTTGAGTTGCGATAGTTAAAATGGAAGTTTTGACGTGGCTACGCCAGAGTACAACATTGGTGTTTTAATTTTGTGTTATATTTTATCAGGAGTTCTGCCGATACTCTGTCGCTCTGTTCTTTAATAGTATGAAAGGCAGGAGACCAGCTAACAAGAGACAAAGCCGAACGATAACTACCCACATAGTGGAATGAACAGCCATTGATGTGGTCTCAGATAAATGATAGCTGTTGGACGATTCAGGCATAATATATGTGTATAAATCTGGTTTGTGTTCCTGATTCCAGGATTTCGTTATCCCGCACGTTTCTTCTAAATTTTACAGAATAGGTGGGCT